AATCAAAATGATAATTGCATAGGACGGCTGATGTGAACATAGTTAAATATGAATAACGATTAACACATGAAAAGAGATGTTCCCAAGGCTTATATGTGATTGGACCTTAAATATATATTTCTCAAAGCTCAGCTATTGTTAGCTGCACCATGCGATTGATTTTTTCCCGTGCTTTACTCACTTGATATCTGAGAAGGGTCAATTTGTGACTTGACTTCAGGGATTTTTGGAGAAGATTTTTTTATGGAGGCGATTTGGAAGGAATATGAAGAGACCCCATTTTGTGGATTTGAAAGTAATCGACAACAATAAAGGGCTTGTTTGGTAGAGTAAATTTGGCTAGCTAAATGATTATCATATATGCTATGAATATACTGTATTTATAATATAAAAAAGTTAAAACAGTAATTTTTGAATATATTGAGTTCATGGGCCATAAACTCATCAATTTTGGTACTTGAAATTATTTCTTTTAGAAATGCAACAGCTCCCATCATAAAGATCTATTACTTGTCTTCTACGAATATAAATTAATCTAAAACAAATAATTGAATAAGTAATTGAGGAGTTGCCCATTTGATGCCACAAATTATATTATTAGTGTGTGGCGTAACGTGACATTTTGAATGAGGTTTATTACAAATAATTGTGATTAAATGTCAAAGAACCAATTATCACACAACTTGTTGACCCCGTAAAATGGAGCGTCAAGTGGACAGCAGATGTCGGCCCACTCACGCCAACTCAAACAAATTTCGACGCATTTGACGGACAATTGGTGAGAGATTGAGAACACATGAATGCGGGAGATGTTTTACGACGCGAGACATAAATATTCGGGCACCGCGGTAGTGATTAGAATAATTGCACTAACGAACAATCACCCACAATATGTAAATAATTTAGGATCAGACTGAAAAATATAGAACAAGAAAATAAGAAAATGATTTCTTGGGAACATTTTTCTTGTCTTCTTGCATATTAGAATCCATATTCAAAAGATCATCCCAAAAAGTCCTTTACACTTTATCATGACCACCTATTTATAGAGTTCTGGCCGATGTAGTGATCGTTGTCTGAAGCCTCATATCACTAAGTCTATCATACATTAAATTCATTGACAATGGGTCATCCGACCTATACATTAGACGGCACACCTGACATCCTTTATTACAAATATTTCATCAATCATTGCTAAAATTGCCTAAAAATCTCATAAGACAGAATCGGCTTTAGGGATTTCAGATGAACTAAGGGCTTCAGCCGGAGGGAGCCTCGTATCGATAGTCTTCCATGTGAAAAGCTCCGACTTTTTCTTTTATTCCTAAGGTAGCGCTTTGGCTTACAACTCCAGACATTTAGGCAATGCTTCGACTTATGAATTTCAGCCTTTGTTTGACTTCTTTGAATTTGACTAATTGGGTTTTTATTGACTTTCCTGTCCATTTAAACTGGGACGTGGTACTTTGACTGGAGCCTGGGCGTAACAAAACTCATATTTGATATCCCATCTGAATGCCCAGTAATGGCTAACCAAGAGGAGGTGAATTGGTTATTTAAAATTTTTTCGTAAAATTAATATAAATACAAGCAAGTATGAAGCAAATAGATAAATCCAAACAGTAAGTGTAATAAGTAAGAGATAGAGGGAAATGATGCAAACGATATAATTATGGAGGTTCGATCCAAAACAATAATCTACGTCCTCCGTTACCGAGCTCTCCGACATGAACAAGGAATTTTCACATGTTGATTGACTTATGGTGCAATCCAACCCTTTACAACACTTCCGATAACTTACAAACAAGGAGAACCGATCCTTACACAATGTTGAGTTTTACGAGACCTCAACACGACCTACAAATTTAATAGAAGAGTGATTTTACAATTAAAACTTTTCTCTTAATAAATGATATAATCAAATTAAATACCAAGAGAGAAATAGACTAACAATTTAATATATAGCAATGAATGAAGTTCAAGTATTATATGAGAAAAACTTTGATGAGTAGAATGAATGCAAAAGTTAATTCAATCAAAAGTTTTTCAAAATAAATGGTTTGATAAAGATAAAACAATGTAACTTTGCTTTAAGAATATCTCAAATAAATACTCTTAAAAGTGATGTATTGAATGTAAAGTGAAGTAGTATTTATAGCAGTCAAAACGACAGAATTTATGGCCAATCGGACGGCACTACCGAACGTCCGCCACTGAACTGGACGATTGAATTAGCCGTTGTGCGTAAGAAATTAGAACGGTTAAAATTTTGATTGTTGCGCCATCGGACGTCAACCAACTATTTCTCTTTTCTTGATTATTTTAACAAGTGTGGGCTCTTGAGGAACATATTCACTTAATTTTCAAAAATGTTTATCATTGATAAAATATTTAAAAATCAAGTAAAGATTTTTGTTACATCGAAAATAATTTTTATGCAAGCGTTTTTATGAAAAGTTTATGTCGTGCATAAAAATTTAACTTACGAGCTTCCAGTAATTCATGGCTAAAAATTAAAATATTTTACCTTTACATATGGATTCAAAGTATTTAGATCTGATGTTTTCAAAGAATGCTTGATTCGTCGTCAATGCTTCGATTGATTTGACGTGATTGCTCGGCTTCCATCTCATCTTTCATGATCATAACTTGTGAGTCTTTTGATAACAATCATTTTGTCTTCAATTAATCAATATTGCCACAACAGCTGTAAAGACTTGCATTCAATTGTTAAAGATAAAACAGTTTGTTTGTTATAATCAAAACACAAGATCAACCATAGGTCAACACCATTAATATTCGTTTAATATGTTTGTGTATCCTAACCAAAAGCAAATATCAAGATTGTCCCTTCTTTTAATTTTTTTTCTTTTCCTTTTGGGTGTGTGTATATTTTAATATACCAAATTAAAATGGAAAATTTGCATTGGACTCCTAAACTTTCATTTGGTGTAATGGTCATCTTCAACTTTTATAAGTGATATTTTGAGATTTTAGTCTATTTAATTCGATCAATATTAGTTCAGAATTGTCAATATGAGCATTAAAATTGAACGCGTAGCGTCTTTCATGTGAGTTTGAGCAAGAACAACATAATATTAAGTTGGAGACCAGATTTCCCTTTTTGAAGGTTGAGATCCGTAATCAAACCATGTGAAAAGTTGAAGAGCAATTCTAATTTTCCGAAATTGAAATTAAAAAAGGCATTGAACAATGCATGGATCAAAAGGCATGTACTTTTGATTATAGAATGTTATCTCTACTTTACATAAAGGAAAATTTGGTTTAGGAGCAACTCCAAAATTCGTTTCCAACGTCTACAAGATAAAGAAAAGAGGAAACTTGTGGTCGCAATCTCAAAATTTTATCAATATTGTATGGATCCCTAAGAACATTTTTTTTAGTATTTAAGTCTCAAGACTTTCAATTTCGATACAAATGAGTCCCTATTAGATATAAACCTTAACAAGCAATTACATATGTACATGATAAAAATTTGGTTTCAAATAACTTCTTTGACGGTTATTTTTGTGCAGCCAATTTCTTTCCAAAAACAACTAGAAAATGAAAACAAAGAAAGAAAAAATAAAAATGACAAACAATAAAAAAATGAAAAAGAGACCCAGTGCCAACGTCATCACCCTACCTCAAATCCCTCCTAACGTAGTTGAAATATATTGTCTTCAATTCCCTGGCTCTTTGAAGGTTTGATCTTTGACACCTCACTACATTGAATAACATATTACTTTCTTCGTCCCATAAATATAGATGTGTTTTGATTTTTACATAAATTAAGAAAATATAAATTTTATTTACATTTTTTCTAAATACACAGATATATTAAATAATTTTTTAAATATGGATATTTCATATTTATTGATAATAAAATACATTAAATATGGACATATTAAAAAAAAAAAATTAAGAAATCAACTACAGCATCAACAAGGAAACAATTTGGGACATATGAAAAATGAAAACAAATCTATCTTTATAAAATGAGTGTAATAATAAATAGCAAGACAACAATACATAACAACTACATTTAGCCACTATTTGAACCGTATTTCTTAAAATCCATTTTTATCCAAACTTATTTTCAATCATACATTTCATAAAATTCACAACTTTTATCAAATTTTCAATCACATTTTATCTATTTTTATAAAAAAAACTATTAAAAATATTTTTTTTATTCAAAACAAATAGGGGCTTAATATTAAAAATTCACTATTCAAAAAATTGCTCTACTTTTTAAGTACATATTCTTCAAAATTTTACTATTTAAAAATTCATTCTTTCTTGAAAATTCTATCAAATAGGGACTACAAATATCAATTCCAACCAATCATTTCAATGAAGTCATATATATATATATATATATTTTTTTTTAATTTAATCATTATATATATGCGGGAGTGATGCCATTAAAAGATTTGGCGAACGTCCTACAACTATGTCATCTCTATTACTGCTCTTGTACCCACTATTGAACGCAAACAACGCAAGTGCAAATGTCCAAAGTATTGGCATGGGGAAAGGTAGTGTCCATGTTAAAGCCATCACAACCAACATGTGTCTAATAGATTCAATGAACTAGATTTCATGTTATGAGAATGAGCTTGTTGGCCTATTATAATTTAAGTGGTCGAAAATAATATTAAAATTTTTGGCATTGATGATTACTTTGAACGTTGCATCAGCTCAAAATGTAATGAGCACTAGATTTTAGTATTCGAGGTCTTGCTTTTGATTCGAAGATGTTGTCTTGACTACATTTCTTAAAACCCACAATGGATTAATCAAAACAAGTTGGATTATGAAATATTTGCAAACAACAGTTTTGACTTGATTCAAAATTAATTCAATTAGGTGGCAATGCTAATGCGCCTTTAAAAAAGCAATAATGAATCCTACAATTCCCATTGTAAATGAATGCAATGTCTTGCGCATGGTTCAAGTTGTACGATACGAGAAGAAGATTGGCAAAGAAGGGTCTTTCAATATTGGCATGGTTGTAGCCTCATTTTCAATGTTTTAACATTTACGTTCACCTTGCGTTAATCACTCAGTCAAAAATAGATTACGATTTACAAAGAAGGAAAATAAGCGATCAACGAAATCACCCATCTTTCACACTTCAATCTTAGCTAAATTTCACTCAAGTTTTAGAAAAATTTTAATTTGTCTCAACTATATCATTATTATAATTCAAATTAGATCACTGAATTTTAATTTGGTTTTCAATTACATTAATCCCTCATCGGTCGAATTTTAAATAGATGAAAATTATTGAATTGGTAGTTAAATCTTCTACGACATGCCAATTTACCTAAAGACATTGTCATAAATTCTAGTTTAATTAATTTTCGTGTTTAGAATATTGCGTAACGATTACGTGGAAGATAGATCAGTTATGATATGGCTACAAATGGAGCAATTTTCGTTAGTTTAGAGAATGATAGGTGACAAAAGTGATTCAATTGAAATTTTCTGATATTTATTTATTTATTTATATAGTTTCAGTTTGTTTTAGTTTAGATGCATAACATTAAGCACTTGTGGTTAAAATTCAAATTTTTAGTAAATTTTGATAGAAATGAATAAAATATATGGTAAAAATAAAATTAATAAAATGTATGGTAAAAATTATAAGTGTTGACTTTCATCTAAATTTTAATATACACCGAACCAAGGTTAAACTAGAAGTATTCGTAGGCTTCGAAAGCTCTCTCATTTATTAATGGATAAAATTTCACATCGAATAAAGATAAAAATATAGATCAATTTATAAGAGTTTGAGTTACTCGTCTTAATAAGATTGACCTTTTAAAATGGAACAATAAATTTTAACATCATATACTATATGGAGGTGTTAGGCAAATTGTTGTCAAACGACCTCCCCCGAGCGATGATGAAATACGTTGTATTAATTCAGTCGGCATAGTCCAAATGACTGAAAGTTAATCGAACACCACAATTGGTAAACCAACCTTAAACCGACCCAAACTTGGATGGCCCACCTATGTTTTCTACTTGGGCCTTATCTTGTCTTAGTGGGCTTAACCTAAAAGCTATACCTAATACTATATGTA